AAAAACACCTCCTCCCCCCTCTTGGCGAGGGGGGGGGGGGGGGGGGGGGGGGGTGGGGAAGCCACTTCTCAAACGCTTTCCATCGGGAAAGAAGTGTGAACATCTCCTCTCTCTCACCTCCTGGTGCTGCTCTTCACAAGCCCATGGCTCAAGACTCCCTGAAAAGGGCTAAATATTGCCAGAATTATATTTAGCACCATATATGTGTATTTTCACCAAGGGAATTTATATTTTGTGTCCGGTATAGCTTTGGATATGCTTTTAATGGGATCGTTTACCCTAAAATGTGAATTCTGCAATCATTTACTCACTTTTCCAAACAGAATTGATAAAAAATTATATTATCATTTACACACCATCTTATGGAAGCCCGTTTCTGCCACTGAATACAAAATAAAAAAAGGTTGTTTTTTTATCTCATAATTCTGTCTTTTTTTTCTCAGAATTACGTGATACAAACTTGCAATTCTGTCTTTTTTTTTCTCAGAATTGCGTGATACAAACTTGCAATTCTGTCTTTTTTTCTCAGAATTGTGAGATATAAACTCGCAATTACGAGTTATAAAGTCAGAATTGCGTGATACAAACTCGCAATTACGAGTTATAAAGTCAGAATTGCGTGATACAAACTGGCAATTGCCGGTTATAAAGTCAGAATTGCATGATACAAACTCGCAATTTTGTCTTTTTTTTCCTCAGAATTGCATGATACAAACTCGCAATTGCAAGTTATAAAGTCAGAATTGCGTGATACAAACTCGCAATTGCAAGTTATAAAGTCAGAATTGCGTGATACAACCTTGCAATTGCGTGATACAACCTCGCAATTACGAGTTATAAAGTCAGAATTGCGTGATACAAACTCGCAATTGCGAGTTATAAAGTCAGAATTGAAACTCGCAATTGCGAGTTATAAAGTCAGAATTGCGTGATACAAGCTCGCAATTACGAGTTATAAAGTCAGAATTGCGTGACTTTATCAATTACGAGTTATAAAGTCAGAATTGCTTGATACAAACTCGCAATTGCCGGTTATAAAGTCAGAATTGCGTGATACAAACTCGCAATTACGAGTTATAAAGTCAGAATTGCGAGATTTAGTCGCAATTACAAAAAAAAGGTCAGAATTGCGTGATACAAACTCACAATTGCGAGTTATAAAGTCAGAATTGCGAGATTTAGTCGCAATTACAAAAAAAAGTCAGAATTGCGTGATACAAACTCACAATTGCGAGTTATAAAGTCTGAATGGCATGAGACAAACTCGCAATTACGAGTTATAAAGTCAGAATTGCGAGATTTAGTCGCAATTACAAAATAAATAGTCAGAATTGCGTGACTATCAATTACGAGTTATAAAGTCAGAATTGCGTGACTTTATCAATTGCGAGTTAAAAAGTCAGAATTGCGATATTTAGTCGCAAGTACAAAAAAAAAGTCAGAGTTGCGTGATACAAACTCACAATTGCGAGTTATAAAGTCAGAATTGCGTGATACAAACTCACAATTGCGAGTTATAAAGTCAGAATTGCGTGATACAAACTCACAATTACGAGTTATAAAGTCAGAATTGCAAGATTTAGTCGCAATTACAAAAAAAAAGTCAGAATTGCGTGATACAAACTCACAATTGCGAGTTATAAAGTCAGAATTGCGACTTTGTATCACGCAATTCTGACTTTATAACTCGTAATTGTGAGTTTGTATCACACATTTCTGATTTTTATAACTCATAATTGTGTGATATAAAGTCGCAATTCTGACTTTTTTTTTTTCTCCGAATTGTGAGATATGAACTCGCAATTGTGAGTTATGAAAGCGGATGGGGACCATAAACTTTCAAGCTCTGAATAAAAGGTGCCATAAAAGTTTATTTCGAATTAAAATTTGAGTAAATATTTATTGGAAAACTTTGCTATTGTTGCTTGACAGCTGTGGTCACCATTCACTTTCATCGTGTGGAAAAGTACAGCGTGAACATGCTTCAAAATTTCTCCTTTTGTGTTTTACAGAAAAAAGTCATCGGTTGGATTTGGAAAACATGATGGTGTGCACATGATAATAGAATTTTTCTTTCTTCCTTCCTTTTTTTCTTTTAAATCGAATTGAATGTAAAATGTTATGCCAACTTCTAACTTTGATTCAAAGACCGATGATGCTCTCTTTGTATCAGCAAATTTTTTCACTACTAAATGTGGCTCACTGGTTGTGCATCTGGAAGTAGAATGTTTGTTTAATGTATTTATTTATTTGCTATTTATTTGTCGTCTTCCAGTCATCAGCTCAAATGCAGTGAGTTGCTTCTCTCTGATGCTTCGTCTGAAGCAGCCGGTCGAGTTGCAGCTCTTTTTGAGATTGTGCTAAGGCAGTATAGCATGCTTTGCACTCTGGTAGGCTACAACCTTTTTTTTCCGCAGCTATTTGCAAGATATCAGGGATCTTTTTTCCATTCTCTCACCTCCCCCAAGACCCTCAATAAAACCTTAGCCTTAACCATCAATGTATAAGCAACTGTACTGTACCGTTTACTTTGTTTGAACTGTTGATGGGTACTGTACTACTTTGTGTATCGCATACACACGTACACAGAGCCATAATGACCTCTCC